GGTAGAAACGAAGCGGATATTGATTCATTGCTTTGTTGTAGCAGGGGCAGTTTGCAATAGCAGTACACACTATGCCGCATTGAAAAGTGAGGTCATTTCGTCCCTGCTTCATGACGCACGAATTCAAACCAGCTGCATGAATTTCAAGCAACATATAGAGGGAACAAAATTTTGTCCCCACAACAGAACTGTTTTGCAAAAACGGCCATGTCGCACAAGGAAAACTGTCGCTGCAGCATGTTCTTGCTTCATGACCCTGCAACATGTCTCCTAGTGCGTGTCGACCCTAACTGTCATTCACAGTGACGAGTGTGCCTCTACAAAGGTTAAACTGGGCTACTTTAACTTGTTTGAGTAACTGGCGCTGCACATATTGATCAATAAATGAAACAACACTGAGTTTGCAACTATTATAATTTTGGGACAAGATGCATGAAAGACAGGTTGAAAGAAAGTAGATAAATTGTTTCAGTCACAGTAGTCACATTTCTAGTCAAGTTGACTGGAAAGCTGCTCAACGATACTGGAACTGCAGCCAGAATCATGAAACTTTGCACCCATGTAGAACAGCAACCTGGCGTTTCGCTATCCGGTCTCACAGCACCAAGTCGATTAGCCCCTTACCGTTTGGTTAGGGGCTAATCTACTAGGGGTTAGAACAGCAGCCTGTTGGCTTGATTAAAAGATTTCTGTGAACGCTTTCAAGTTCTTGCGCACTTCCATGGAAAGAAAACTGAATCTTTAAAAGGTCGGCACATACGAGGGGACCATAGTCCCTGCAACCTGTCCCCTGAAGAATTTACACGAAGGGACTGGTCGCAGGGACAGTTCACACGAAGCGTTTTGAGAACAAGTCGCAGGGACTTGTCCCAAAAAATTCAAACTAGTTTGAATACGTGCGACTAGTCGCAGGGACCAACTTTTAGTCCTTGCGACTAGATTTTGTGTTTAAAATGGCTAGTTCACACGATGGGACTTGTTCCCGCGATTTGTTACAGAGCTTAGTCGCAGCGACTAGCCCCCTCGTGTGTGCCGACCTTTAAGCTACTTCGCCAAGTAACAGCCACACAAAGTCGTGATTAAACTTTTGCAAGTTCACCTCCCTGCTAAAACTCTATTTGCGACTCGAAGCGCCATCTGATGAAATCTTACATTTTTGATTTGGTTAA